TAGCGGGGGCGTGCACGGCACCCCCCCTCAGTCCTGCGCCCGGGGCAAGTGCCCCCCCCCCGCCCCCCCGGTTGTTACGCCACTGTGTTGTACTGCATCTGGGTGATCATTCATAAAGCAGCTACAGAAGTCTGACATTTCATTTCACCAGATTTTGCTGCATTTTTTTTGCTTAATTTTCACTGCTGTTTTTTCTGCAGGTTTATATGTAACTGATTAAAATGGTCATGGCATGTCATGGCAGTTGAAACAAAAGTAGACATATAAATGATAACGATAAGTTACCATAATATGACACATTGCAGGAATTAAAAAGAGAAATTGCACATAACTACATTTATGTGAACCACTCCTTAATAAGTGTGGCTATAAATGGTAATGGTGGTGATAAATAAACGAAATATCTTACATTTGTCAACATTTTGTCCTATTCTCCTACAGAATGCTTCTTAAAGTGACATTAAAGGATAAAAAAAAATTCCCTCCCCCCCATGTTAATGTCAGCACTTACCTTAAATGATGTCTCTTATTCTGGTCTTCCTCTTCTTTCCCCATGTTTTCATCTGTCCCTCCAGCGGTTCGGCGGCTCTCCGATCCAGCGCTGCCTCCTCTCTGCGTACAGGTACTTCCGATCCAGCGGTGTCTGCATGTGTGTGCACGCGTCCATAGACTTACCTTGCGTCTCTGCTCGTCTCCCGGCCAAGAATACAAACTGCGCATGCGCCCGCCCCAAGATCCTTTGCGGCCGCACGAACAGTTCCGGACTCTCGCTGCAGTAGCACGCAGCGATAATGAGGTCAGTCTAAACCGCTGTTTAAGCATTTTTTTTATTTTTTAAACTTTTTGCCTATATCTACTGCTTATCAGCAGTAGATATAGGCAAAAAAACGGGAGGCTTTACAACCCCTTTAAAGCGATATTAAACTCTCCTTTTTTATATTTGCTATAGGGATTCCCACCTTTGCCTGAGGCTGTTGTTGTTTTTCTTTAAAATCTTTAAATTCCTCATTTTCAAGTGGGTCCACGCAGCGTTCTTGCCCCCGCCCCCTGTACGGGTGCCTCCATCAGCTAATGCAGGCACCCATGCGCGCTCGTGCCCGCAGTGGCTGTGTGCGTCCATAGACACACACAGCCCTGTGGCAGGCCACTCCCTTTCTCTCTTTGATTGATGGCAGAAGGACCATCAGTATCCTCCCCCTGCAACCAGGAAGTACGAGGAACGGAGGATCACTTCGGGACCGGCGGGGGGGACGAGCGTCGCTAGCAGGTAAGTGTGGGGGGCACTGGGGGAGAAAAAGGTTCTGGGAGGTTTTTACCGGAATGCAGAGAATGCATTAAGGTAAAAAACGCCCAGACCTTAATACTACTTTAAGAACATTCTGTACATATGGGGTTATTTTGTAGAAAGCCAAACATGATTATTTTTTTACAGAATACATGTTAGGTGAATATTTTGAAAAGTCAAAGGTGAACATTTCACTTCCTGCCTTACAATATACACCGAGGGGCCAGATTATTATGACCACCCATCAGTACTTTGTTGGGCCACGAGATGACTCCACGAGATGACTTTGTTGGGCCGCCTCGTGACTCCACGAGATGTTGAAAGTTGATGCGAGGAATCTCACACTGCACTGTGGCCCTTCTGTTGTCTTGTACCAGTCTTGCCACTCTCCGTTCTGCCCTAACATTGACTAGTCGCTGACGGCCACAATTCGCACGTTCAGACCCAGATTCAGACAGCTGCTCTTGAACATTCAACGAATTCTGCTGTTTTGCTGATACTCGCTCCATGGCTCCGAGCGCCAACAATCATCCCACGTTCAAAGGCTGTTAAATCGCGTTGTTTACCCGTATCTTCAGAAAAAAAATCACTTCTACTGTCGTGGCAAACAACCTGCTTCCCTATTTATAATGGTCTGGCCCTCTAGCAACTTCAGCACGAAATTATAGCTAATTATAGATAATTTGCCTACAAACGTCAGGTGGTCATAATAATCTGGCCACTCAGTGTATAAAGTCCACTGAGAGTGCCAAACAGGACAGTATGAGAGTCCAAAAACTTTTAATATTAGAATAGGTTCACAAACAACAACACAGACGAGCCAAAATGTTTCAGGGGCTCAAAGACCTTCCCCTTCTTCAGTGAATCAGGAAAATGTTTTAGTTTCTTACAGAGTACATGTTAAGTAAAAGGTGACCATTTCACTTCCCTGCCTTACAATATAACATGTACCAGTAAGGTATACCTTTTTTTGAGTGGTGAGACACGTCACTGACCTTCAGTTTGGGCAGCCGCTTAATGGTCTTCAGAGGCCTGAGGACACGAAGCACTCGCAGAGATTTGATGGTGCTGATGTCCTTTCCTTTACTTCCACCTCTGTGTGACACCAGGAGGAAAAGAGAGCAAGAGAAGGAGGAAAGAGAGGAAGAGGCAGAAGTAATCAAGAAGGGATAGTCAGGTTGACAGACAATGAAGAAGAGTTAGGTTCTCAGAGAAAAGAGAGTTACAGGTATAGAATCACAAAGGGACAGAAAGCATATTAGAAGATAAAAAAAGGTTGACGTAAGAGACAGATTTGTAGAAAGGAACCATGCACGTATAAAGTAATGAAAGATAGATAAGTCGAAAATGAATAAAGATGAGATAAGAGAACAAGAGAGCAGAAGAAATTGCAGAAAGAAAAGAGTATGAAAGAAGAAGATGAACAAGAAGAGAGATGTGGACAGAAGAGATGAGAAAAAAAAAGAAAGGAGCATTGTTAGCAGCGCTGGGTATTTTCAGTCCCTAGTGCTTACATGTAGAATTCTCTCAGGAGCATTTACCAGCTGTTCTGATAACACATCCAGCCCCTCCGGACTTACATCTACATTACTGAACACACAGCAGGAATCCCTGGCTGTGGAGAGAAACCTTATAACGACATAACGAAGGCTCATCCCCACTAGCAACAATCTCAGCAAATGTCTGATACCCCTGAGGAATATTCGAAAGCTGCTGCCAATGCAATGCAGCGCCCAGGCTTGACTGCCGCCAATGTGTCACATCTTACCCAGTAGTTAGGACACAGGAACTAAGGCCAGCCATACACAGCTCGGGTGGTGTGTATGCCAACAAAAGAGAAAAATGCAGGCAGTGAATATGGCAAAAAACCTTGGAGTTTTAAAACAGGTTCCCCAAGCAAATAAAGAATTTCAACTTAAAAACTCTAATTCACAATTTTTTTTTTATTTATTAAAAGGAAAAGCCTTTCCCCAACTCATGTGTTACATATTAGTTCTGAGTAGAAGATGTTAACTTGCTCCAGAACTAGTATGCGGCACTTGAGTAAGAGATTGGCTGCTTCTATCAGAGCCTATGTTTCACTTCAAGGGTTGTGTTAAAGCACAATTCCACCCAAAACAGATTTGTCTTCTTTGGGTAGACAGAAAAATAAGTTTTATGTCTTTTAAGTTCGATTAATCGGATTTTTAAAAAATGGCTCCAGTGATGGACTACTAGTTTGTATTGAGATTGTAGTCTATCACGGGATTGAACTTGGAGCGGTGACTAGTACTTTACAACACACACAGGAATCATGGGGAACATTTGTCCGTGTTCCCAATCACTGCTCTAACCATTGGCCTAATAGATATTTCTGAAAGTAGGATGGCCTTCCAGTCTCTGATGGATTGCCAGGTCGTACCCCAAGTTTATGCAAACTTTGTGCCTGCATGGCTGATCGTGTTCATATGCAAATAGCAAGTCAACATAGACAGGCATATTAGTGTTTAGGACGTAGGGCATGTTCTGCATCTTGGGGGCTGGTTGGCTGGCAGAAGCTGCTTTGAAGACCAGCCCATCTTCAGGATTGCTTACATAGGACAACAAACAGATAAACCCCAGGGGCATTTATGCTGGAGAACCTCATGGAAAACATCTGTACAATTTGTTTAGCTTGGCAGGAGTTGAAAAGGCTGACCCAGCAATCCCAAAAAGAAAGGGCAGATGTTAGATTTTCATTGCACTGGAAATGGATCTGCCCCAGTATGGTCAACCTAACTCATAGCTCTGTGCCACCCTTGTGATTTAAAGGACATTTTGATTATGTTTGCAAAGTGATGAAGAAGAAAGAGACAGACTTAAAAAAAGGACAAATGGACATTACCGCTGGTTGCTCCTGGAGGAGGCAGCCGGTGCAGGAATGAGAAGGTATTAATCACATAAACAGAGACATGACACCACAAACAATCTCATAGTGTACATGAAACACAAGCCAAATCAAGTGAATGAATCATCTGTGGATCAGGAGACAGACGTCATGTTCCACCCAATCTATCACTTCTGCTCTTCTAGACCTCTGCTTTATGATATTCAGCTAAGACTGACAAATGACAATTTCCTAATGGAGAGTAGATTACCTAACAAGGGATTTTGTATACAAATGTAATTCCTTTATATTTCATAAAGCTTACAGTGCCTTTTGTAAATATGAGGTATATGTTTCCCTTAGCAGCTATGGTCTTTACTTCCTTCTTCCTTTGGTGGTTGGTAAATGAAAAGGAGAAAGTAACAAACTACCATAGGCAACACAGACACGTTGTTCTTTTCACTCATTCATGGAGTCAGCTGTCTCTTTAAAGTTGCCCATAGACATTGCAGCTTTTAGGGAATTCCAACCACTTTCGATTGGCCTGTGTCGATGGGAAAATGCAGCTTGCTTTTGGCATCAGTTTGAGATGCTTCTGACAGGTGCATTTGACCTTTTGACCATTCTTATCCTCATTTGAGCTGCTTTAATAAAATGTCTTATATACGTCATACACACTAACTCAATCATTGTGTGCCTCTGTTTTTAACAGAATCATGGATGAGAGGTTGAAACAAAAGGGCAATAATTGAGTTTCTGATGAAAGAGGGCTGTTTGGCTTTTGAGATTCGTAGACATCTGAAGTATGTGTATGGTGATGCAGTAATTGACGTGAGCAATGTCAGGTGTTGGGTAGAGAAGTTTAGAAAGGCAGAAAGTGAAATTGTTGACAAGGCATTGAATGGTGCCAATTCAAGCTCTCCTCTCCTGCGCTGTAGAATCTTTCCAAACTGTATATTGAGGCCTGGGTAATATGATGGCGCAAATGCATTGAACGTGATGGGGACTATGTGGAATGGTGAGTCTGAGTAGAGGAATTTATAGGCTAACTGTATGTATGTTCATTGTTTCCATCTCTGCATAAGTAAACCTTGTATAGCTCATCAGGCATTACTTTTTGATACCCCCTCATAATAACATTGAAACAATTCCTTTTGCAGGAGCAGAAAGACTAGAAAGGCAGTAACAATGGCTCCATATAGGGAAGATAGAAATTGCCTCAAAGCCATTATGGTTAAAAAATGAAAAAGTGAAAACCTGTGCCTGCCCTGGATATGAATGTATTACTGATACATCTTCTTTTAGAAGCCATTCATCTATTGGACTGAATGTTATGAACCAATTTGGATGCAGCCTACCTCAGGTTAGTATAGGCTGGTGTTTTGGTGTACTGTGCATTCAGCCCATATTAGCAACTCACAAAATTACAGGGGCCTTATATGCTGAGCTGTATCTCTCTAGGGCAGGGGTAGGCAAACTCCGGCCCTCCAGCTGTGGTGAAAGTACAAGTCCCTTGATGAATCTGTCTCTGGGAGTCATGCCTGTTGCTGTGAGAATCGTGCAATGTCTCATGGAATTTATAGTTGCACCACAGCTGGAGGGCCGGAGTTTGTCCACCCCTGCACTAAGGTATATGAGTCCATGTAGATAAAGGAGGAAGTAGACTTTTACTTAAAGCGGAACTAGACCCACCGATTTAATGGTCTCCCAAAACAGTTCATTTCAAGGCATATCAATTGTTATATACCTTAAATATGTTATTTCAGTTGTCAACTGAACTTTCAAGCCCTCAAATGGCTGGTGTCCACTTTAACTGTAGTCCTCATTTATCAAAGTGCATGAGTCTCAGTTCTGCATTGCCCTTAGCAACCAAATCAGATTCCCAGATGCTTTCTGCTACTGTGAACACTAAGGAAATAGGGAAAAATCCTCAACCCCTTTGCTGCTATGGGCTGGCTCGGTATGCTTTTAGTTCTCAGAAAATGTATGCTTTGGGGGATTTTAATGACGTCTGTATTGTGCATTTTATCTTTGCGTGTCATAAAAACCCAGAAAGCTTTTCCAATTTTTACTCGCAAAGATAAAACACACATTTCTGAAAGCAGAGAACATAGAAGATTATATATAGTATCCTCAATATTGTATGTCTTGTAATACTGTTAAATATTTTTAGCAAAACTATATTTTCAATATAACAACGCTATTTTTGTTATAAATGGACATAAACCCATTACACAGTACTCTCCAAACCTCCTACTTAACTCTATGAAGTCTGTTTAATACATAGATACAGTATATCTGGACACAAAATTGTGTACACATATGAAGCAGCAAAAAATAAAGATATGCAAAACTGCAAATACTGTAAGTGATTAATGCAACTCACAGACTTTACATGGGGTAGGAACATGCAGGGAACATCCAACCTCCCACAGGATAAAGATTTTCCAGAGATCAGCAAAACACTCCAAACATTTGTAAGCCTAGCAAAGGTCAAGCTTACAGGTTTATGTGGATGGAAAGAGTAGGAAAAACAGAGGGGATGCTACTGTCGCTGGGAACATACAGTAGTTGGGCAAGCATATTCTATCCTTCTTGCAATGAAGAGAGCTATGGTATGTCTATTTTATGATTGTTTCAGAGGTCCTCCTTGCCATGCATATGCATTCCTGATTCTATTCTAGGCAGCTCAGTGATGCCTTGGTGAGGAATTTGGAGAGCCAGGGTGATGTACAGTCACTTCACCAGCATCCAGTGAAGATCTTGCCTGTACTGTATGAGATGTTGCATTGGTTGCCATGCTAGCAAACCACTTGTGCATGATGACATTGTAGGGCACCATGGGATCTCATACACAAATGACGGCGCTCAGATACATGCATTAAATAAAGACAGCACCACCTGCAAAAAAGAATGGCAGCAAGGTGCAACAGGCAACATTGTAAGAGTAAATGTTTTGTGGTTAGTTCATAGACAGACATCAATCTCTATCAATCATGTGGTTTCTGATAGGTAATTGTATGCTGATATTCTGTTTATATAGAAACCGATAAAAAGATACATGTACATCAATAGGATAAACATTTCTAGACGTTGGACAAGCCATATACTGTATACTGTATGTCATTTTATATTCTTCGTACATTCAGTAAGCTAGTTATCACCAAATTACACCAACATATAAAGATGCCTCTTCCTTAAAGCTATATATATTAACTATATTCAGAAAAGGTTAGCGAAGAAATCAGAACTGTGAAGCACAAATTTATAAAGAATTAACAAACTTACGAGAAGGCGAAAGCAACCAGAGCACCGCAAACTACGATGAAATCAAGAATGTTCCACAGATCTCGGAAGTAGGCTCCCTGGTGGAGAATGAGACCCAGATCCACCATCTAGTAAGGAAAGAGAGAAGTTGGAGTCCAGGCAAGCAATGATCATCCTATATCATTTTCTGATCATCCTCTATCCTATATGGGTCTGTCCCCAAGGCCTCCTCTCATCTGCATAAATCTGGACACAACTCACGCTAAAGCCAAACAATGGTCACCTGTATAAGATGTTCAAAGTATTTTAGCTGGCTCCACAACAGGGTTTCTGCACTACGGCATCCCAGGATTGCCAAGATGCTCAGTCTGCCATGAAGAGAAAGCTGGGCTATTTAGCTGAGACAGCTCTTTTAGCAAAACGTCTTATAGAATATCAAGGCAATTACACTAAAAGGTGAAAAGTGTGTGCTCATTCCCAAAGGTGTTCAGTAGGACTGAGGTCAGGGCTCTGTGCAGGCCAATCAAGTTCCTTCACATTAAACCAGTCAAACCATGAAAGTGCCAGAAGGTAATTCTCAACATAACAGTATTTTACCTGAGGGCTTTTCAGCTCACAACTGTGCTACCGTTGTCCCTTACCATGGCCTTATCAAGCCCTACTTCATAAAATCGGTGGTTTATATGATATATGTTGCAGTCATCTAAACATGTTTCATTTTTAGGTGTATATTATATCACCAAAATCATGGCCTTACATCTCTGATATCCTATCTACAATCCATGTTCCTCGCCCTGCACACAAAATGGTGGACCTTTGTATATAAGATCCTTGCATTGAGCTACTGTTGTTCTTATTCTTACCTTAATAACCATTTCAAAGGTAAAGACACCAGTGAATACGTAGTCAAAATAACGCAGAACCTGTAGACAGAGAAAATGTCATTAACTCATTGAAAAGGCAAACAGATGTTGTAATTTAAAGTGAACCCAAATGCATTTCCTTTCTAATAAACATACACTCTCCCCTGCACTTCACAAAAGCCAGCTTCATACAGCCTCAGTTTTCCCCCCCGCATTGGTATTTGGTATGGGTCAGGAAGGATAACCATTATAGTGATTGAACAGTAGCGAGTCTTAGGAGGTGGGAAAGAATTGGCTAAAGTGCCCACTTCCTAACTGAAGTCAGTATTTAGAGCCCTTGATGCTAAGGTAAGAGGCATTTGTTATGCTGGTGAGGAGTATAAAGTGCATCCATGACCCCTGCATAAATGTTCAGAGATCCATGACATAGAGGAACGAAAGCTTCTGTTCGTAACAGTATTTCTTTGTCCCTGACTGGTTAACTTAAAGAGACTCTGTTGGCACGCTAAAAAGATAAAACACTGCACCCTGTAATACCTACCTCTCTGGTGGGCAGTGAGACAAATCTATGATCGAGGAACAACAGCAGCACAACCAGTAGCTCTTTGAGGGAGCAAATGTTTGACTTACTGGCCTTTCTTTTTTGGCCTTAGCAACAGGGTCACGTTAGGTTAATAAAGATTCATACTTCTGAAGCAACACATTAGGTTCCTTCGTCAGCCGTTATTCAGACATTTTATAGGAACATTTGCATGCATAATTGGAAATAGTATTATTAGGTCTGTTACATTGCAGTAACGTGTATCTTAGGTATACAGGTTCGTCAGGTTTGTGCAAGCACGCATAAATATAGAAATATATTTGGTTATATATAACCACTATTAAGTGCTATTTATATCCACCACTCTCAGCTTCTTTTATCCCACTGGGGCCAATGTTCCCATTATTTCAGTCAGCCTGCACTCTCCTCCCTCCATCTCTTCCTCTCTCCCTTCCCCACTGGAGCATCCAATGCGCACAGAGAGAGAGGAACTGCTAAGTAAGCAGGGCTGCAGGAGGGCGGATATGATTAACAGGCTGTCAGGCCAGTGTGCCTCACCATGGGTGCCCAGCACAGCTTCATCCTCCTGTGCTGATTAACTCTTCTTGTGCAAAAGAGTGTATGCATTATTGAGATTTGTCCATAGACCTGCACAGATTGTAGGCTCATACTCTTGGAGCTATCTGTGTGCCCTTGTATTTACGCTCAGTATTTAAAGGGAGAAGACTCCTGATGGTGAAAAGCATACAGGAAAAAGAGTGCTGTTGAGGGACTGAGCCTGAGACAGGTGGACAGATAGCATTACCACACATGTTACTGAATCAATATATCATCCTGCAAGGACTGACACAAACAAAGCTGACTGACAAGTCTGCAGCCCAATGTCCATGAGGTCAAACAAAGCCAGATCCAGTTAATTAGCAAAATTTAAAGGAAGCCCACCATCAAGGATGTCTTTGCCATCAAGCACTCATGGACCAATGTACAGGGCAACAGGGTAAGAGGGAGGTGGCTTAATGGGAAAGACAAACTTTGAAAACGAGTAGCATGTTCCTTTGAACCTACTAGAGATACATTGCATCAGTTCATAAGTTTGTAACTTACATTGTTTCTAGTCGCCTCAGGAAACACTGGGTCCTCTGCTGCAAGGGCTATACTGCTCATGGCGATAACCAGCAAGATACACATTTCAAAGTATCGAAGGGTTACAATGTAATGACACAGTCGACGTAAACTGCAATGAAGAGAGGGAACAAGTAAGATCTGAACAGTGCCGACGTAAACTGCAATAAAGAGAAGGAACAAGTAAGATCTGAACAGTGCCGACGTAAACTGCAATAAAGAGAAGGAACAAGTAAGATCTGAACAGTGCCAACGTAAACTGCAATAAAGAGAAGGAACAAGTAAGATCTGAACAGTGCCAACGTAAACTGCAATGAATAGAAGGAACAAGTAAGATCTTGTACAGTAAGAATGTTTTACCAACAAATAACAAAATGTGCCTTTCCCCACCATAAGGCCCAGTGTGAGAGCATGTAGCTAAGATCAGCAAAGGGACAACATCTTACCGAAATTGTGCAAACTAACATACCAAGAAGCAGAAGACAATAACAATTGACAAAATGACAGGTTGACAGTCATATTCGGAGGCACAAACTGACAGCAGAACATATCTTTACATCAGTGGCGTAACAATAGCCATAGCAGCCCATGCAACTGCTATGGGGCCTGGGGCTGGAACGGGACCCCATTAAGGATTGCCGAAGTTGCTGTTGACACTGACCTTGTACCCCTGTGACATTTCCAATCAAGAAAAGCCGACATCAGATGTACGGAGGAGACAATACAGTCAGCTCTCTTGCTACCTGACTTTAGTATCATTGACAGTCGGAAGTTCGAAAAGGGGCCCCAGCAAACTTTTGCTATGGGGCCCCATGATTTACAATTACGCTCCTGCTTTACATATTATATCTGGATAAATAGGGATCACCTGGGAATGTGTGTCTCAAAAAAGCATCAGTTTAAAGTCAATGTTCAGAATTGGACACATACATAATCATCAGCTAATCGTTTGTCTTGTTTTATTCCATTGCCTGGGAACTGTGGTTTTGGCTTGGAAGGATAACCATGGTCTATGCAGAACAACAGACCATAGAAAACACTCTGAGCCATTAGCATAAACTCATGATTAGTTTAATATTTTTTGGTAGATGGCCTTCAATTCTACTATGGAGTGTCTTCCACATGCACATATACACTCATGAATCCAAACTTAAATTGACCATACAGTATACTATTTTTTTTTTCTCTCATTCAGCCCCACATTGTTAGCGTGCATTGGGGAATCCCCCTGCCAAACTATTGTATTGTGGCAGCCGGTACCTGTCACTTTTGGAATACCTGAACAGTGACTGCAGCTGATTGGGCCACAAAAGGGCCCAATGGTTGGTGGTCATCTTCTGGTTACCAGCAAGAGCTGTTTCTGCTTTCTACGTAGACTGATGTGGCTATAAATCACTTTACAAGAATAAAAAACTTGACTGCAGAAAGGCATATACAAAGAAGATGAAGACATGAAAGGAGAGCAACGGTAGAGGCTAACGTATAAACTTACGGATTCGTAGTTGATAAAATAAACATGGAGCTGTACGGTGGCATTGGCTTTGGACCCTTCCCAGCATCATCCTCCTCCTCTTCTTCTTTCTTCTCATCCTCTTTCTGAGGTAGTGGGGACACTGCCACTGTTTTATTAACTAGGAGTTAAAGGAACACAGACAGACAGTGAAGTAGAAACTTAGTACTGAACAAAGAATGAAACAACGAACAGAAAGGAACAAAAAAAGGTTACTTATTTCTGGAATGTATATACATTCTGACCCAAAACAACACTAGAAAATGGATCTGATGGATGATGACATTATCTGATGCTCACACCTTCATTGGCTAGTACCTTGAAAACGTGCTATGATTCCCGGTACAGCTAGACAATAAGCTTTTTTACCATCACTTAGTTTGGTATTTTGGCCTACAGGACACTGGGTATGTTACATGTACAATACATAGAACTCTGAGGTGGACACATATGACAGCTCAAAGGCCATTGTCAGCCTTATTCTATAAAATGTTTTTAATGGTAAACTGTTGCAAACAGCTAAATACACAGTTAAAACAAACATTTGTTGAATTGTCCAATCCGCCACACGATTTGCAATCTTGTCCGGCCACTTTTGTGATTTATATACGTCTGCCAGACAGCAAAGCCAGGAGGGTGACTCCACTTTTCGCTGTCAGAGTTAAGGAACACAACAGTGTCACCTCCCTGTCCTTAGCCTGATGACTGAAAGAGCAGCAATGGACCAATAAGATATTATTATGTATATATAATTATACTACTGTGATCTTGTTTAGAGATGTGCAAAACAAAAAAAAATAGTTTTCAGACGAAACAAATGAAACATTTTCATTAGTTTCCTCAAAGGAAAAACATTTTTATGTTGTTTCGGACACTGTAACCGCAGAACGTGCAGAGGCCGTATCGGCCGTGGGCTCGTTCTGCGCCTGCGCGACACTATTGTGGAATAGATCTTGGTATACACCAAGATGGCGGCGCCCGCATGCTCGAGCGTCATTATCTTGGTGTAGAGCTAGATCAACTCCAAAGTGGCAGTGCACATGCGCAGAACGCACCGACGGCCACTCTGGCCGCCGCTCGTTCGGCGTGTGACGTCACCATCCGCCTCCAAGATGGTGGAGGGCATGCGCAGAACACGCTGGCGGCCAATATGGCCAGCGGCGTGTTCTGAAAAATAATGAATGTATGCCCGAATATCGTTTTAGTATATTCGGGCATATATTGAATTTTTTATTTCGGATATGGACGAACCGCCAAATCAACTGATTTTCGTTGATTTGCAGGTTCGTCCGAATGCACATGTCTAGTCTTGATGTTTCCTACCAGCACATGACTGGCTCCTGGAGCCGCCCTTTCCTCCACGAGTCTGAGGGGATGGCAGGAGACCAATACAAGGACAGATTGTCTCAAAAACTGCAAAACCAGCACACGATGCTCTACCAAAGAAAATAACATTTTATTCCACATGTATCTATACAAAATACAACCGCTGACGCGTTTCTGCCTTACTCAGCTTAGCCTTAGTCATAGGAGAGAGAGAGAGAAAATAGAGAGAGAGAGAGAATGGAGATAGATAGATGAATAGATGGATAGATAGATAGATAGATAGATAGATAGATAGATAGAACTCACATAGCCTTTTTTTCTTTCTTAGACCTATAACGAATGATTGGCAATCCTGTACCAGTAAGAATGTCTGAGTGACGTGTTGTTTCCTGTGGATCTAAATTTGGGAGCATGACCTGATTTGGGTAACAGTTGAACACTATGATGCAATTCATCTTCTAGGCTGAGCTTCGTTGCCTTATGAAAATAATCAGGCCTGGGGAGATTTAAACTGCTCTGTGCCACTTTGTCACTGACTCTGCTTCCCACAAGAGCTACTTATTTGTATCATAATGTATGCAGCAGCTAGTGTCATTATTCTGAATATCCGATTTCCTATATACCCCCCAAATGCAAAAGTAATTGCTTGTCAAAGTGTGTAAGGAAATAACAGTAACTGTAGCTTGTAGCAACAATTTTAACCCTTTTATTCTCCCGGTGAAGTATGGCAGAAGGAAAGTATGTGGTCATTGTGAGCAGCAAGAATAGTCCTGGCCTCAGAGGAGGTTAAAAAAAATGCAGAGAAAATACAGTGGGGGGAATTTATCAAAACTGGAGCAGTTGCCAATGGCAACCAATCAGCTTCTCTCTTCAGTTTGTTCAGTTAAGGTTTGAAAATGAAAGGTGGATGCTGATTGGTTGCCATGCACAGCTGCTCCAGATTTTGTCTGCTCCAGTTTTGATAAATTCTCCTCATTGTGTCTTTACAGGAATTTGTGATTACAAATGTTTTCGATTAATCGAACACGAAAATTTTAATCATTACCAGCCCTAATAAATTCCCCTCACAGTCTGTGCTGTCTTTCCTTAGGCTTGCTCTTTATGATGCTCCTGGCTGCATATAAGCCTCTCACTTTTTTTTAATTGTGAGTGCATTACTATTGTTTGTGATTAAAAGGATTTTTAGTAAACCACTGCCAGTGTACTCTGCTGTCACTTGCATGGCCATTAAAGTATTTACATATAAATAAGTTCTAAAACAAGTCCTTATGGGCCTCTGTAGATGCATGTACTGTGGAGTAATTCATCCTCAAAGACCACAACATAGACTCATGCTTCTTGAAAAAATCTAAGAGCATGAATGTCCTCACCCAGGTTGACTTTAATTAGTATTGTGAATGTATCATCGTAGGACATGATATGAAAACTATGGAGGAGATGGATCATGATCTGAGCACTGTTCAACACCCTTAATGGTTTTTATGTGCCATTCCGTGACTCCTATAGATAAAATCAGAACTAAAATGTTTTTTAATGGAGTCTGAACCAGCTCTTTTAAAAGAAAGCAATAAATGCAAAATAATAACAGACCCAAAGGGATGAAGTAGACACAAAAATAATACAGGCAGTCCCCAAGTACATACATCCGACTTACATCCGACTCCTACTTACAAAGGGAGGCTCGGAGGCTATTACTGTACAGCAGGGGTAGTTTGTAGTACTGTACGTACATTACAGGAAGTTAGCTCTTGTTAGACGTGCAGATGAGGAGTGCCCTCCTCTTCTTCCAAGTCACTGTGAGGTTTTTACTGCTGTCTGTATCCTCATTAGAAAGATTTAATCTCACTTACTGTCCTTGAGACAACAGGAGGTGAAAGGAAACCCACCCCTAGGAAGGGAAATTCACCCCTGTAAGAGTGATCATGGGAAAAAGATGTTTCCACTGAAACTTTATCACCAATCCTTGTTTCCACGACAACCCAACATTTTCAAAGTCCAATTGTCACAGGGACAGGAAGTGAGGTGAAATCTTCTGAACAGGGGCACACACAGCAAAACGAACGTTACAGGGGGTTAACACTTCCCTATGCTATCCAAAACAACAAAAGCAAAAATTTGGCTGAAGTTACACTTAAAAAATGTACCTGTTCCAACTTACATACAAATTCAACGTAAGAACAAACCTTCAGTCCCTATCTTGTTCATAACCCGGGGACTGCCTGTACAGTACAAATCCACAAGTAATAGTCCAAAAAATTACCTTGTGAGACAGCATTCTCTAATGGGGCAGGCAAAGGCAGTGTAATATCTACTGTGGTCTGCTCAAGAGTTTTAGTCACTTTGGAGGCGTCAGTGGGGTTGCTGAGTGTCTGGGCAGGATCCGGTCCAGTTGGGGGAGGGCCAGAATTAGTGGGGAGAGGCGTCCGTCTTGGAGCAGAATTGACAGTGGGAACGCTGTTGTTATTGGCGCAGTTGGTGTGATTGCCCATTTTGGCTGGGCTGTGGTTGATGCCTCCTCCTCCCCCCATTGGGGGTTCATTGGTCACCAGCTTGTTGTTGCGGATGTTGTCCATGTTTTCCGGCTGCTGACTTTGTTTCTCCTGGCGAGATCGATCCTGAATGGGTCTCGTGGTGGAAAGACTTGGGCCAGAGCTGGGAGCTGGAGCATTAGGGTCCCTGCAAATCCAAAAAAAAAAGAGCACCATTATCAGTGAGAAACACACAAGAGAGGATTTTAAGAATACTGTATTTGAAATCCAGTTTCAAAGTTTTCACTTGAACCAAGATTGCTTTAAGACATTACCAGGCGCAGGAAAGACCCTTAATAAGATTTAATCTTTATATTGTAATCAAACTGCACCTTTTGGTGGTAAATAACATTCTGAATTTTTTTTAGGAGGAAATAGCTTTAGGTGTTCACTGTATGACCAATTACACAAACATATACACACACTCATTGAACGTCAGCTCCACTAAAAATGGATTTTCTATTTTGAGGGTAATGTTCAGTTAGTAGGTCTTCTGCTGTCCCGATGGGGAGAACATATATAAGATCTTTACATTTAATCTGCTTGTGATTCCATATATTCTCATGAAGAGGCCAAAGTGAATGGAAATGCTGTTCTCTAATGAAATTCTCAGAAACACTGGGCCTCTGCTGTAGCTGGCAGTGGTTCTACCTGCTGAGCCACCTTAGAACCTTGGATAGCTCCTTGCCTGATCTCCTGTGTAATCCTCAGTTGAACCTAGTTTTTGCTGAACTCTGAACTCCTTGCTCCTCCCTTGAACTTCCTATTTAAGCCACACCTCTGAACTTCCTGTTTGCCAGATTATTGTGCTCCTGCCAATATCTTGCTTCCTTGCTCCTCCTGTGATACAATCCGCTCATACTGCTACACGTGTCCCGACCTTTGGCTGCTTATTCACCGAATACTCTCATCGTCTTCCACTTCGTAACTAATACCTTTCGCTACTGACCTCCGCTTGATCTCTGACTACGCTTCTGCCTGCTCCTATACTACTACCGTCTGCTTATGTACCAAACTCGGCCTGTTTGACTATGACTTTGCCTGCTGTTTCAGCTACTGGACTCCGAGCCTGATCCAGATCGTAACTGAAATCTTCATAAGAATATATGACAAACTCCTTGGCCAGTATAGAACCGGTGGAATGAGTTTGCTCTCTCACAGTTGTGAAAGAAGTAAGAATGAAGCTCTTCCCACCAGGATCTCTGACCGTAGTAAAAACCAGTGAAACTAACCATTAATGATCCCACTACTCACTTCCTTCTCCGATGTCTTTTTTCTCTGTCATCTCTCTTCACATCATTCTCATAGGTGGATTGTGCAGTGTGGCGATGCCGTCTTCTCCTTTCTCCATCAGGCCCCTCACTTTCCCCTCCACCACTGACTTCCCTTGCTCTTCCACCCTCCCTTGCATGACGGGGCCTCCTTTCTCCTCCTCCACCACCTCCACCTCCTCCTCTACTACCACCCCCACCCACATATTCTTGTTCTTCCCCTGTTCTGCGATGCACCCTGTGTCTGCGGTGATCGCTGTCCCCACGTGGCAGAGGGGAACCGCTCCTGCTCTCTTTGCTTCCTCCACCCCTGTGTCTCCTGGGTGGATCTTGGGGTGGTCGTACACCTCCATCCACTTCCCCTGTCCTGTCCTGAAGACCCATGTCCTGCCCATCACGAGTAATTTCCTGTTCTTTGCTCCGAGGCCGACGGCTAGGTTCCTGGCCCATATCATATGCTCGGCTAGCACGCTCTTGAAACCGCGCTTGTTTGCGCAGATAGTCTTCTGCCCGTTGGTGAGAAAGACGCTGCTCCAAAGGCGTCTTGCTTTCTCCTGGCCGACTTTTGTTGGTGTTGTTGTTACGGTTTTCTTGTGGATCTACGACCAGTGGCCGGTCAAGATGCGTCTTAACGTCTGGACGCATGAAAGACAACTTCCAACGTTCTTCAGGATCCATCTCATTATATAGAGCCTCTCGACTGTTCGCCAAATTCTGCCGACGTATTTCGGTTGTACGCTGCTCCCAGACAGACATCCCGGTTTTCTGGTTCTTCTGCTGCTCTTTCCTATATGAGTTAAACACACATTTTGTTTACAGACATTTATATGTATATATATTCATAAAGAAATGCTCATGCATTTACCACGTTTTATTTTTTTCTACTTACCATTATTTGTTTTACTATACCTTTGCAATTTATTATGCTTCATGCTACCCCAATAAGTATGTAGGCTGCTGCCACTGCTTACCTCCTTTAAGAATGTTGCCTGGCTGTCTGGGCTCAATATTTCTGAGACATTGGCACATAACAAGCATGCAGCCAACAAAGTCAGAGACAAATCCAAACTCCTGATCTGCATACTTCTTTAAGGACAGTGACTCAGGAAGTAATGAAGCCATTGGACATAACATAACAGTCATACAACTAATGTTTTTAAATATAACATTTACCAATGGCAGTTCATATATTTCGCTCAGTATGGGTTTCCAAATCAACCAATAAAAATCCATCTTGTACTGGTGTGGTTTCAGTTCTTCAAGTAATATCTCATATTACAAGCTAGAACACTTATGTTATCTGAACATTTATGCCCAAGTCAGTTTTTTATCCACAAAGGCTAGCAGAGTGTTCACACTGTTCATGGATGTGACACTATTGCTGCCATTGGTATTATTATTGTTTGTATATCTCCATCCATGTTTTTTGTTATAGCTAACTGTATGCAATTCCCTTAATGTCATCAGTAACAATCCTTTCCCACTCCATTTTCATATATCACAGTCCTGTCCAAAAGCTGCAAATGGCCTTTAAAAAAGAGCATGATGCCCAGCACTGTTGCACCTGCTTAGCCAGGATACCACCTTTTGAGATGGTGATGTCTGGCCCTCTCTCAGGCAACCTGCTGTCTGCATGCACTCTCTTTATATATTCTAAATTCTATGTTTTATGTTCTGTGATCTTTGTTGAAGAACAATTAACATTATACATTCTAATTTCATCAAGGTGAAGCATAAAGTGACACTAAAGTCAGATTTTTTTTCTCCCTTTCCCAATTCTGCTGTAGGGACTTACCTTAAATGATGGCTCTTTATTCAATCTTCTTCTTTCCTGTCTTTTTCAGCTGTTCCTCCAGCGCTGGTGCGGGTCTCCAATGCAGCTCTGGCTCCTCTGTCCTCCTCTTCTCGGATGTCCCACGGAGTCTGTGCGGGTGCACGCTGCTCCCTAGACTTACCTTGTGTCTCTCCTCGTGTTCCGGCCGAACATCTGAAGTGCGCATATGCCCGCCCCGAGATCCTTTGCGGCCGCCCGAGACTCTTCAGATGTTCGGACGGGAGGGCGCGGTGAAGACACAGGTAAGTTTAAACCTGTTTCAAAAAGTTTTGTTTTTTTTAAGTTTCTGCATATATCTACTGCTTGCTATCACTAGATATATGCAAAAAAAGTGAGGGTTTAATAACCCTTTAAATCAGTTTTGTGACCAGTCACCACATTTGGATCAAATGCTGTACACTCCAATTTAAATTTAAAGTTAAGGTAAAAGCTAGGGTTGCACAGATATCAAGTACAGTACATGTACCGATACTTTTGAGCTCCAAGACTACACTAGAGAAAAATTAAAAAGTTAGGAGGCAGCTGTCATTTGTAAGGAGCACACGGAGCTCCCGGGATTTGTACATCTCTGTTTTAATGTATGATTTTGTTTTTATAAATATAAATAAAGGGATGCACAGATACCAGTTTTGCGAGTACGAGTACTGGTACTTGTCCAAGTACTCACAGACACAAGTACTGATACATTTTTGTTTATTGTCATGTGACAGTTTTTCTAAAACAATACAGACTAATGATTTCAGGACAGTGGTGGAGCACCAGAGCCAGGACCCAGCTGCAACCGCTGCAACCCTGGTAGGTCTCATGAAAATCCCAAGTATCTGCACTGGTACTCAAAAAGTATCTGTGCATCCCTAAAGCATTTATTTTTTAGTAAGTATGCAAATGTGTCTTATTTTTTCTCCCAAGTGTATATGTCATGAGCAGATAACCCAGTATGAGGCTTATTGCAGGCAAAAAATAACAATTAGAGAGGAAAGTCCCACTAGGCCAATTAACATTTCCAATTGTCCAGGGTTTTTAAGGAAGCTATAGAATTACCAATCATCGTCACTTTGGATAAAATGGTTTAGATCAGGTAAAAAAATTTGTTTGGCTATCGGTATTGTAACCTTTTAGCCTCACAGCTGCACATAATCACCTCCCATTTGCTCCCCCACCAGCCCATTCGCCACTGGGAGCAAAGAGAAATACATGATACTTTTAAGTAGGTAGGTGCATGAGACCCATTCCCCTTCCTCCCATATTACAGTCCTGGTGCATGGCAAAGGGCCAATTCGACAGCACAGTTGTCACGTGTGGGTAGGGAGAGACTCCTCAGCCCTATTTAAGTGCAAACTAGGATTGCCTTCAAGTTAACACAAGGGTTCTTCTCCTTGCTTCTAATGGTGAACGAAACCGCCAGGAAGCGAAAGGAAGGTACGTAGAATATGCTGCAGAGGCTGATTTAAAGTACAGGTTCCTTTATGTCCCCATCTTCACAAATGGGAGGCATGAAAAACTCAACATGCACTGTCCCACTGATCCCACATTTAGGATGTGACAAGCTCACGAAAAGAAATAAAGAGCTGAAATCACATATAATAAATCAATTTGTGGCATTTTTTTCCTCGTGTAACCAAATGTTGATGTGTAGAAAACTGAACACACTTACGCTGCTATGGTCATGTTGGTAGCCGATAGCGGACTGACTTCTGCTACTTCCTTGGCTTTCTGTAATGCCAGTTTCTGATTGGCGGCCTGCTCTTCCTCTTGTTCATCCTGCAGATAGGCGGAGGCCAGTCAGAGCAATAGTCTGCATACCATGAACAATTACATAAGAGGCATTACCCATAACATACCTTGGTTAGCTCCTGAGCATTGGCCAGATTGTCCACAGCGATAGCCAAGAAGACATTCAGCAGTGTGTCTGTATAGAATTAGTTAAGGAAGCTGACCAACCTACTGTACTTAGCTACTAAAATTAAATCATACAAAATTATGACATACAGTGATGTCTAAAGTAGGGATGCACCGATACCAAGTACCGTACTCGGTACAAGTACATATACAGATACTTTTCCAGCTCCAATACTAGACTAGAGAAAGATTCAAAAGTTAGGAGGCAGCTGTCATTTGTAAGGAGCACAAGGAGCTCCTGGGATTTGTACAGCTCTGTTGTAATGTATGATTTTGTTTTTATAAACATATATGAAGGGATGCACCGATACCAGTTTTGCGAGTACTGATACTGGTCCAAGTACTCACAGACACAAGTACTGATACATTTTTGTTTCTTGTCATGTGACAGTTTTTCTAAAACAATACAGACTAATGATTTCAGGACAGTGGTGGAGCACCAGAGCCAAGTCCCAGCTGCAACCTCTGCAACCCTGGTAGTTCTCATGAAAATGTCAAGTATCGGCACTGGTATCTGAACTGGTATCGATCCATCCATAGTCTAAAGTGCTATAGTAGTGGCAGAATTTAGGAGCTATTCGGTCTAACATAGATTGAGCACTGTTTCAAGCAATAAAGGGCAACTGGTTGTCTATAAAGTCTTTCCTTTTTCTGTGCAGCCAGTACCCAGATCTATAAATCTTGCATACAATATGGCTACTTTGCCTTAAAGTCTGCAAATCCCTTGTCTATCAAAATAAATTCTCTAGGAAGCCCCACTTCTTAAACGATGTCTGACCATTTGCATGCCATCTGAGCATGTACGCATCTCCCCATACCCATTACCACTGCATGTAATATGGTACTACAAGAATTTAAGATAATGTAGATACAATGTTATGTTACTCTGCCCTGCTCTCTTGCTAGTCTAATTCTGGAATTTACTGTAGGCCCACCTTCTGGAATCAAAATCTGAATTTCCAGCTAGTGTGCAAAGGGTGATGGGAAACAAATATATACTGTAATGCCTTAGTAATTTGTCTTGCACTAAAATGACTAGTTCTCCTCCCCTTGGCCACTGATGTATACAGAGAGCAGTGGCAGACTGTCACAGGAAGGGCAGAGATATATTTTAGTTGTGGCTGTAATTGATAGCCTGCCTTCACCTGCTCTGCAAGAGGCAAGATAGCTACGCCCAACAGGGAAGTGAATGGATCTCAGACTACAAAGCACAATACAGTTTTATGTTCAGCGACTATGGGGTCTATTCACAAAGCTGCCGAGGGCAGCCGAGTGAATGACCGATCAGAAGTGAAGTGAGCCGAACACCGTTCGGCTATTCACTTCAGGCTGGTACGGCTGATTTCAGCCGTATATCGGCTGAAATCAGCCGTACATCGGCTTGCTTCGTGTGGCTTCGGATCAGCCGAACATGCTCAGCATGTTCGGCTGACCCGAAGTGCAGAAGGAGTTAGACTCAGCCGATCCAACATCTGGATCGGCTGAGCCGAACCTCCGGCAGGCTTCTCACTGCTGTTCGGGCTATTCTGAAAGATCCCGAACAGCAGTGAGAGAATAGCCGAATGCCGCCGAGCGGCATTTGGCTGGGCTGGGCTGTTCTGCTCTTCAGAAGCAGGCTGTCGGCCGGCCAATGGCTGGCCGCTCAGCCAGCTTCGTCTTTCAGCACGGCTCAGCGCTCGACTGAGCCGCTCGGCCGTGATCGGGAGCTGTACGGGCTATTGTGAATAGCCTGTACAGCACCCCCTCGGTTCTCCTGAACCGAAGGGGTCCTGGTGCCGAAGCTAGCCGAAGGATCGGCCGAAGCTACGGCCAGATCCTTCGGCAGCTTTGTGAATAGACCCCTATGTATTTAGTTCTTTAGAAGCTGAATTCTGAGTTTCCGTGGACATAGGTAAGGATTTCTTAAAGGATACAGTTTCCAAAGAGAGTCAATATGATGAAATAGATGGAGAATACCATGCCCTTTTTGACTCCACCCTGAGACTTGATGCCATCGTACATTACTTCATTCCAGTCCTCCCCAGTCAATATCTGAAAAGGAGGAAAAGTGAGGAAAGGTGGCTGTGTAAAAAAATATATGAACATACAGTATATCATACATATATCAGCATATACATAGTCAGTTCCCATACCTGGAACACAGTCATTATTGCTGCAGGAAAGTTATCAAAGTTTGTAGAGGGGGTTTTGTCATCAAAGTTAAACCTGTTAACAAAAAAATAAAAGAGATGTAGATGTGGAGTACAAAGATAAATGGCACAACGGATACCCCGAGTAGCCAGTGGGGAGATAGACAGAGTTGCAGAGGGAAAACTAGAGAAATTAATCTTTGGCATTTGTCCTTCACAGAGATCTTGTATCAGCTTTTACTTTTTTTTACTTTTGCTACTAGAGCACACAGGTCAGCATCATGTCATCACACCACCACATATTCCTCTTTGTACAGACATCTACTTACTGTCCACCAAACAGCTGCATCCCCAGTAAGGCAAAGACCACAATGAAAAGGAAGAGCAGGAATAGCAAGCTGATGATGGATTTCATTGAGCTCAGGAGGGAGATCACCAGGTTACGGAGAGATGCCCAATATCTGCATATCAAGAAAAAAAATATATGATTAAGAATAAAACAAAAATAGAAGAGAAAGGCCATGCATTCACAATGTATTAGAAGATATATTTAGGTTAAAGAGAAACTCAGCTGAGCAAACTTTGCATATAATATGGCAATATAAGATAAACCCATTATAATTTATCATAACCAACTTTTCCCATGCTTCTAAATGTAGGGTACATTAAATAGTTCTTGTGTGGCATTTCATAGCTGAGTGGGTTTGAGCCAGGAAGGCAAAACACTCAGTTCCTATGATACAATGGGGGTTATTTACCAACCTAAACACACGCACGCACCAGGTGCGTGTGATTTTGACACAGCAAAACGTATTTATCAACCAAAACGTCTCTAAAAGCATATTTCCACTAATGCCATATATGGAAAAATCATGCACATGATGCATATATAATGCTGCTTCACAGTTTAGACAAAAATGGTTAGCTCATGCATTTACATTCCTGCATTCATCAACGCAAACAACACAACATAGAGCTAATTTACACCTTGCAATTCATGCTTGGCTTTGCACAACACACCTGCTGGGTGTGTACACACTACAAAGGTGTTTAGATTCCACCCATAGATCATGCTGGGAGGGAACACACTACAGAGGTGTATACTTGTTCATGGCGTGTTTATAAGGTTAGTAAATCAATCCCAATGGGTCAGTTTTTACCAGTGTTCATTGGGGGAGACAGGACTCTACGTATACAGGTGAAACTCGAATAATTAGAATATCGTGCAAAGTTCATTTATTTCACTAATGCAACTTAAAAGGTGAAACTAATATATGAGATAGACTCCTTACATGCAAAGCAAGATAGTTCAAGCCGTGATTTGTCATAATTGTGATGATTATGGCTTACAGCTCATGAAAACCCCAAGAACCCCAAATCCACAACCTCAAAAAAGTAGATTATTACATGCAATCAATAAAACAAGGATTGTACATAGAACAATATCGGACCTCTGAAAAGTACAAGCATGCATATGTACTCAGTACTTGGTTTGGGCCCCTTTTGCAGCACTTACTGCAATTACTTTTGCACGATATTCTAATTATTCGAGTTTCACCTGTAGGTGTAGTTGCTGCATCTAGACAACCTTTCTCAACCTTTTTAGAAATGGAGGAACCCTTGAAATAGTTTTCAGAAACCCCCCTAGAATTATTAGGCCTACATTTCTTGGTACATTAGAGTGATCAGTATGTTGTACATAGTTTTATATATAAGAATAGAGAACGGGGTTTCCTTGATAATCACAAAATGAAATAAATAATAATCAATCTGCCAACTCTTTCTTCTTAAGGAACCCCTACTAGAAAGCTTTGGAGAAACCCTAGTGTTTCATGGAACCCTGGTTAAGAAAGGCTGCTCTAGGAGGTTGGACACTAAGTAAAGAAAAAGGGCACAGCCCCTTCTAGCAGCCATACCCTTGCATGTGCATCACACATTCAGTTAACTTAGTGTCCTGAGGAAAAAGGATTTTTTGACAGCTGTGCTGGATCAAGACTTTCTAGTTAAAGTTCCTCCTACTGCTGACAGTATCAGACCAGATCCTGGATATTCACTCCAGCAGTGTCTGGTTGTCTTTTTGCATTGTTGGCCTCTTGCAATAGTTAAAACATTCCCTGAAAGGTTGTTTTCCATTTCTATGGTTTGCTTACTGCTTGCAACTCCTGAGCTTGTGTCGTACATGTGGAGGTAAAGCCACTAGATGGGGCTGTGCTTGTTTGCTTTCCCTAGTGTCCAACCTTCTACAGGTGGCAGATGTACCCTTACATAGACAATCTTGCGCCCCCCATTAACTACTGGAGAAAAGGGTGAGCACAGAAAAACCTATGTCATGTTATCAACTTGTATGGGATGGGGCACATTGTTTCTTAGGACGTGGAGCTATATATTCATTACTCCCCCATTGTCAGGCTGTAAAGCAAAAGTATCACTTTTTACAGCTGTCAATGGAATAGGAGTAAAGGGAAACATTTTCTAATGGAGACACCTGTTCCAGTGACCGAAGATAATTTCTCTTACTTCCTGTTGTGTCTCGAGATGATAAAGTGAGTGGAAATCTCCATGGGCCATGTACCATGTACCACTGGCTGAAACCTTTTGATTCTGAATTGAGCAAGCCAGTTGGATGACCAGCAAAACATCTTCAAGAAAAGTACAGGAAGTCCAGATGCTTTGATTTATTTCTTACAGATGTATACCCAGCCAATTTTGTTTTCTTACAGGACTATTCACAAAAGGGTGAAGAGTTTGGAGAAGGCAGGAGAAGGGAACAATCTAGGAGATTTGGAAACATTCTCCAATTCAGCTCACTTTCCAGTTCAGCTATCTTGTCCTATCTTGTTCCCTTCTCCTGCCTTCTCCAAACTCTTCACCCTTATGTGAATAGCCCTGTTCGTTTTTGATGAAGCAGGGAAGGATTAGAACCGTCAGCCTCTCTGGGACTCCATTAGATCATCTCTCACTTCCTGCCCTGCTGCCATTTTACCAGACAGGAAGTGAGAGGAAATCTCCAACAGCAACACAAACAGAAATAAAATGCTTTTCTTTTGTAGAGTAGGGGAAGGCTAGAACCCCTGTCAGATTTTAATTTTTGTCTATTTTCACTCACTTCCTGTCTGGTGAAATGTTGTCAGTAGGACAGGAACTGAGGTTAAATCTTTTTAACTTAGCCCCAGATAGCAGTAAAAACTGTTCTAAGTCTTTCCTGTTCTATCCAAAACCAGTAAAAAAAAGTTTTTGGCTTGTTGTACACTTTTATGAAGCCAAACTCAGGTCATTGATTTTTTTCATGAAAAAAGTGTGCCTTTGCACAAAAAAGGTTGAAAAACACTGACCTAACCGGCTGACTTATTGTGACATTAGCACAAAGATACCCCAACATCCTGAAATATATATTTACACTTTAATAGGAATCACTTTTTTTCAGTCCTTGTGTTCTTGTGCAGTCTTACCCATGGACAGGGCCAGATTAACATAAAGGCTAGTGGAGCGCCAGCTCCAAGCCCACCAGTGAAAATAGGCCTGGCCAGCCCGGATCGCCTCGGTATGCCCAATGTCAATCCAAGCCAGTGTTCTATAATTTTTCTGGACCTCAAAAGAATGCTGGACTGCGTCACTTCCGATGACGTGGTCTTAGCCGTTGGAGGCATGCTAGGCTCAATGCGCATGCACCCTTGTTCTATAGTTTTTCTTGACCGATAATATTTCTTGATCGTGTCACCTCCGGTGCAGCCACGTCACCTGAATCAGCAGTTTTCCTGTCGCCCTTTCTTCATGCACATGTGCACCTGGAAGTGACCCAGTTGAGAAAAATTACAGGCCCCTTGCCAGGTTGGTATCGGAGATCGTGCTCCTGGAAAAAACGACGCCAGCCCGTAGGACAATGAGAAATTGTGTGGCTTGAGAAAACTTTAGAACAGGGGGGCATATGCATTGAGCCTCGCACGTCTCCAAAAGCTGAAACTGTGTCACCACCCTCGGGGGGCCCCAGCGAGGAGCAAGTGACCGCCTAACAAGGGCCTGGTACTTCCCGTCCAACCGATCGATAGCACCAGGTTCATGATCCCCTTAATCCGACCATGCCCATGGAAGATGCTTCTTTGTGCCCTTACTTAAGTCTACTTCCTTCGTCTGAATCAAGTCAAGTGCTAGAGGGCACCTGAAGTCTGTCCCAGATCAGTCAGCTGACAGAGCATCAACTGTCAGGGTTCAGCTGACTCTCAAGCTGAAGAGTCAGTCTCATACTGTATGTAACACTGTATATTGAGGCAATATAAGTCGTCCAAGGTTTTTTTTGCCTTCCTCTGGATCAACAGTGGGTAACTGGGGGCATAGCGTTCTGTTTAGACTTTTTTTTTCTTCATATCTCTATAGGTTGAACTCGATGGACATGGGACGGACTCGATGGGTCTTTTTTCAACCTGACTAACTATGTAACTATGTCCATAAATAGCTAAATATACAGTACAGCTGCATAACCCCAGTCATGAGTTTTTCTCTAGATTGTAAGAATGAGAAGAAAACATATCCGAAACACACTACAGTCCCAGTCACTTACTTAGTAACCTTGAAAATGCGCAGCAAGCGGAGGGCTCTTAAGACGCTGATCCCAAAAGAGGTTCCAGGCTTCACCATTGCCCAAATGACCTCAAATATGCTCCCAGTGATAACCTGGACAGAATAAAGACAAGAACCTGTTTGTGCAGAGCACACGTGTATACAGATAAGGCAAATTCACAATAACAGTGCATGGTGTCCCCCACGGTGCACATGGAATAGATAGGATATGTCATGGTGTTTATTTTTAGTGTAGGTGGTTCTACTTTTAGCGTACCTGGGCACACTGTGTAAAAGCAATAAGACAATTGGTGTACAGGACCTACTGTAAATGTCCACCATGGAGCCAGCTCGAGATACAGATGTCAATATTCACCAACACTCTACTTAGTTCTGGATATTCCGCAGAAGTTTTATGTCCTGGGCAAAGTGTCCATGGATACTGACAGCAGCATCCATCATGGAATACACCTGCAGTCCACTATTAACAGGCTTGTTATGTACCTTCCTTAAAGGAGAACTATGGGGTTAGGGCTTTTCCCCATAGTTCTCCTTAGGGTAACCGGAGGGCACAAACTAGTGTCCTCCCGTCACTCTAAGCTCAGTATACCGCGAGCTACAGCTCGCGGTATACGGAGATGCCGCAGCTGAAGCGGATCCCGACAATTATGTCTGGATCCGCCCAGCTGCGTGAGTGACAGCTGGCTCTGCCTATCTAGAGGCAGAGCCAGCTGTTCCCGCCCCCTCCCCCGTCCGTTCCGCCAGTCAGCGCTGGAGGATCGGAGCGGGGAGGGGGGAATCCAGCCCCTCCCCTGTCACAGCAGAGAGCCGTGACAGGATCGAGAAGTGAGCGAACGCCGGTATGTGTTCGCTCACCTCCCGATCTACTGAGCCGACCTGTGACAGTCTCATTGTCACAGGTCGGCTAGAACTATGAGGTGAGTGAAAAGCACTCACCTCATAGTTCTCCTTTAAAGAAAAGAATGCTTTGACCCCCAGCAGTTTACTAATTAGATAAAGTATCATTGTCTTGTCTGTGAGGTTCAGGATTAATGTTACAATATAATCCTTCATTCATAGTGGGTGCAGCCGTGTTGGATAGCTAACTGCAGTCACCAATATCAGAGCTGTGCCAAGAGATTAATGTAAGCGACTCTATTGCTCGAAAAGCAAAAATGTAAAACAAACACTAAGCCCCCATTCACACCTGAGCAATTTGACGCATGTTGTCTCTGCATCATGTGCAACTTTGACACATCACTCCATGAGAATTCCCCGCATATGGATGCTGGGCTGGTGTGCCCCCTTATTATGGCAACCAAGCAGTCCAGTATGCAGGAAAAACCTAAGCGACTATAGACAAAGCGGCACCGGGACTGAGTATAAATTCAAGCTTCATATATATATATATATTGTATATATTTATTTCTTTTCATTTGGATTCCAGGTCTGCCTCAATAATTAAAATATACTTACGGCACAGTCAAAGCAGTTAAACGATGAATGAAAATAAGGCCTGGTTCCAAGACCGTACATTTTTATAAACATTTCGGACATAAAGAGCCCAAGGAAAATGAATTCTGCATAGTCTGGAAGGAGAGAGCAGAAGATTATCAAAGCTTTCCTCAAACCTTTCCACATTTCCACTTCTGTGATTTACATATTCACTGGTTACAACTAAAAGGAAAGGAGCAGTCTGTATTATTAATAGAAAACGGACAAATTTGGCCTGTTAAGGCAAGTTAGAGAACAAAGGGAATTGGTTGGTGTGAGTAAAACAGATTCTTCTCTTTCAGGCACTTTGCATACAGGAGTTAGTTATTAATATTGTATGTCAGGACAAACTGAAAAACAAAACACATTCAGTACATACTGTATGTCTAATACATGTATATTTTCCTATGTTTACCCCTTAAAAATAACTGCTAATCTGCCAGAAATCCAGTGTAATCCTGACAAACCGTGCCTCTGGTGCACTAAAACACCTACCAGTCCTGCCTGCCGGACATCAGAACTCCTTCTACAGCCCCCCTTATGTCCCATTTCTTACGCATACATTGATTTCCTTCCCAGCAAAACAATGCTGATGCCTTGACTCCCCAGAGCATGCCCATACATTGAGGGGAATTTATTAAAACTGGAGCAAGCAGAATCTGGAGCAGTTGCCCATGGCAACCAATCCGCATCTCTCTTCAGTTTGCTCAGGTAAGATTTGAAAATGAGACAGAGAAGCTGATTGGCTGCAGTGCAAATCTGCTCCAGGTTTAATAAATTCCCCCCATTGTGTTTAAAAAAAGGCTCATGGGAGATGTAGTTCTAGGGGCATGCCTACATCAATAGGAACTGAGCTCTCCGCAGCTGCCCCGGCAAGAATTGTCTAAATCTAGCGATGGTCTCACAGGGAGTAATAAAAGTTGCTTATCACAACAGGAACAAAATAATGCTGGAACATACTCTAGGGGGGTAGAGGGAGGTTTGCAGGGTAAATGTAGGTAATGTTTTCACATACACTTAAGTGTGGTTAATGTCCCATTTTTGGGGGTGGGGGCTGAGCAAGTACTTTATAGTTTATACAACTACATGTTTCGATAAAAACTACCAATTTTTTATTTTTTGTAACCCTTAAACCAATAATATTCCCTGCCATAATCTGTTCCATTCCATGCCATCACCTACACTTCAGATTTTCCCCTTCTCTCAATCCCAATTCTAAAGGTCTTGCATCTGATCTGAAGGGGGTCCACATAACATATACACATATATGACTCTCGAAACGCCATCTGCCTCATCGCCACATTGATAAATACAGTGCAGATTGCTTCATGCATGAACTATTGCTGGAAGGAATGTCCTATGTCTGGAAAAGGACTTGAAAGCCGTTCTCCAAAAACCTTGTTTTGCAGTTTTAGCGCAAAGACACAGAAGTAATGCACCAACTCACAGAGAAAATTAGTTAGCTGTTCAGGCTGGCCGTAGTGCACAATCGCCACGCACAGCGTGTTTAGAGCTACGAGGCCTAAAACCACCCAGTAAAAAGCCTGAGTCTTCACCATACGCCGAATGTAGAAACGTAAGCGCCGTTCGTTTTTGTGTAAGTATGAGGAATTCTCCATCTTGGCACTTTTAATACTGGCACGGGCGAAGGGGGAGCCTGTGGGAAGACACAGAATACATTTAGAAAAAGTGAAGGAACACCTAACCATGTCCATGGAATTCAAGTGAACTTGATGCGGCCTACTACTGTGCAGATATGGTGCCTGCAAATATCTGCATTGTTTTTTTTAGATGTATTTCTGTGTTACAGTGTCACAATGGCATCACTTGGGTCCTTACTCCAGGCTGTAAAAAGAACCTCAACTTCTCTCCATATCCAGACTGAGTGTGAGAACCTCTATTGTCCATTGAAATTCTGAAGTTTAGGAGTTAAATGACAGTTGCTGGGGTTTAACACCAGGAGGGGGCATGGCCCAATCTGGACTTGGAGTGAGAAAGTGGCCTGGTCTAGGATGCAAGGGCCTCCACAGGAACACAGAGCCAGCTGTACCCGCCCCCTTCCCCGTCCGTTCCGCCAGTCAGCGCTTGAGGATAGGACAGGGGGGGGGATCCCTGCAGGGAGCCGTGAGTGACAGTCACGGCTCTCTCCACGGATAGATCGAGAAGTGAGCGAGCGCCGCTATGTGCTCGCTTACTTCCCGATCTACTGAGCCGACCTGTGACATTTTCATTGTCACGGGTCGGCTCAGATTATGAGGCTGAGTGAAAATCACTCACCTCATAATTCTCCTTTAGGCACTTTTAGGCCAACTCAGGTTATACTTTTTTAAGGTAATTTGATATTGTAGAACAGAGTAGGAAATTATATCACTTTCTTAATCACGTTGTGCATTTGTCTACTATACCTAAAAGCCCAATTATTAGCCTTTACATTTTGCTCATGACGGTTTGTGCTGATTGCAACACCTTCAAATTTCACTGTGTTTTACAGAATGCATACACATCAATCTCTAAAACAAAGGGAACTACCAATCTAATGTCCCTAGCAAAGCTATACACCTACAAGAAATGGTTTAGGACCGGACCTCGTAGGTCTACAAGTATGTTTTCGAATTATGTGAGGAAACCCAAATAAACAGCAGCATACAAACCCCATCTAGGTAGTCCCTGGTGGGAAGTTAACCAAGGACTTCAGCGTTATAAGGTACAGTGGAGCTTATAATCAGCACAAACACCCGGGTTTTGTCAGGGCAAAAGCCAGTTAGAGTACCAGCACTTTTTTAGAGACTAAAAGGCTACTTTATTATAGGTAACACATATATTAAGCCCCATTCACACCAGGGTGGTAGTGGTTCAGTGCGGTTTCCGTGCGATGTTATGAAAGAGCATTGTTGTGTGTTTTTAGTCACGCTTCAGCACTGAAACGCATTTAAAAACGCCCAAAAACTTGCTGATTAGCGCGTTTGCATTGAAATCTATATTGAAAACGCGCTGATCAGCACTGAAAAAGTAGTTCAGGGAGCAGTTTGGGAAGCAGGCGTATTGAAACGCACGATTACGCGCGTTTGTTTGAACGGGCCCCATAGGAATAAATGTGTTTTTTACTGCCGCGGAAAAATCTGCGCGACCGGACCGCCCTGGTGTGAACGGGGCCTTAAGGAGCTATTGATAACTATATGTAGGCTGTTAGCTGGTAGTGAATGCAGTGAGCTGGAGCGCAGACACATACCCACTGAAGATATATCTCCTATGGGCTCCTCTCCCTCATCAGCATTCAGCAGCTCCAATTTGTTTTTCTTGATTGTGGGTCTCCGCAGGGTTCCTATACAGAGCAGAAGAAAGTATTTGTTTAGAGCTGCTGAGGTTTGCAGTGTACAAAAGTTTGGTGGCAAGGAATGTTTTCTTTTCACCAAAGTGTTCAGTTTCTTCATTATGAATAAAAACTACTCCTCATAGCAATTAATGTAATTCCAAATGATATTCAGGATTTCTAGCATAGACAATAACAAACAAAATCTGGCTATTTGCAATAGGCAACAACACTCCGTCCCTACAAGTGAGCCCTTACGTTTCAAAGCTATTCATATATTAGCATAAAAAAACACACATCTTTGCACTCTACAATGGGTAAGCCTTAGCGGAATAAGGTTTGCTAAAATATAGGCATGTGTTAGAGGGGTATTGGGCAGATCTGAGGTATCTATTATATAGGACCTACCCCTTTGGAGATAAATAATTTATCAATGTAACCTACAACGTTTACTAAAATACTAATCTGCTGGAGTTATATTGATTTATTGCTCAGCTTTAGGTGCCACAGTCACAAACCTACATGACTACAGATCGGGAAATCAGACACCTAAAGATGGCTGCACAAACCACCACATACACTGCAGAGCATCCCAGGGGACTTGAAATCCAGGACCCTCTGTTCTTTAGATCTTGACTGCAGCTCCTGAAGTCAAGTTCAGGCCCACCCTATTTATTCTCCTGTGCCCTTTCTATTGGCCCGTCAAGCTGTCTGTCATAGATATGTACCTATAGCGAGGCACAAGAAGGGGCAGTTTCAAGAGCTGAAGTGTCATGTAGGAAGGATGTCCTAACAAAAAGGTACTTATAAAAGCTCAGGTATATTAGGAAATGTCATAGCCCCAGTTTCGTAATGGATAAATGAGATGTCGAAAAGGAAAACGCTTTCTAAATGCCCCACATTTTTATTGTATACTTTAAGGACACAAGGGTTCTAGCTCCCGCCAAGGAGAATGCTTCACCCAATGTCTGAAATTGATAGAACAAGAGTGACATGCAAATATTTGCCTTAAAAAGTATCTCACCCACAGAGTAAATCAGCCATCCCATGGGCCAGTGGAGTGGTTTAGTCTACTTGCTGGGTACTAGTGATATCATTACTTTGTATCTTCTACAACAAGAATTTTGATAGTTCCTAAGCTCAATTATTTAAATGACCTGTGCTACATAAATCAAACTTTAGGGAAAGGCTCATCGTGACCTTTGCTGGTATTCAGGTATGGAGAAGTACCTTTGAGACTGCAACAGTGCTTTATCTATACCTGTGTGAGGATATAGGATATGAGTAAATGTATAGCGTTGGCCGTGCAATTCTGTTGGTACTCACAAATCTTGAGTAAGTGAACCATAAAGTATATGACCTCTGAAAAACAGCTTTCAGGATATACAGAGATCACAGCAGCGCCTGGGCATATACCATCTGTACAATTTAAAAAAATATCTTTATACAAACATTTTTTTACATTAGGCAAGCTTGCATACTTGTTTTTATGGAGGAGGAAAATCCATCTTGGCCTCTCAATTTTGCCCCGATTAGGCTCAGCCATGTCTGTAGGCACCTTTGCGAAAGTTTATGAGTATTTGCATATTGGTTTATGACTTTTTACTGCTGGCAGGTACTCTTTAAAATACCACATGAATTACATATCAGCATAAAACTGCAGACTTCAAGATTCAAAATTATAATGAAGTATATATCAAAATTACCATCGTATGGAAGTCTTTCAACATCACTGTCATCTTCTGCAAGAATTACTTCTTCGTGATTCAATCACACATAAAAAAAAGTGAATAGGAAAACTGAGTAATAGTACAGGATAAGTGCACTAATAACACACTAGCTATGCAGGCAAATCAAGCAATTTTACAAATATAAGTTTTCACATTTTTCCTTTCTCTTGCTGTCGTTTAGGATATATACAGGTGAAACTCGAATAATTAGAATATCGTGCAAAAGTAATTGCAGTAAGTGCTGCAAAAGGGGCCCAAACCAAGTACTGAGTACATATGCATGCTTGTACTTTTCAGAGGTCCGATATTGTTCTATGTACAATCCTTGTTTTATTGATTGCATGTAATATTCTCATTTTCTGAGGTTGTGGATTTGGGGTTCTTGGGGTTTTCATGAGCTATAAGCCATAATCATCACAATTATGACAAATCACGGCTTGAACTATCTTGCTTTGCATGTAATGAGTCTATCTCATATATTAGTTTCACCTTTTAAGTTGCATTAGTGAAATAAATGAACTTTGCACGATATTCTAATTATTCAAGTTTCACCTGTAATGAGATCATCATGGACGCTGCCAGGTTTATTTCCCAAAACAAAATCTGCAGACACTTACATTACAAAATGTCTTTAGACGTGCCTACTCTATAGCCTAGCTCGCAGTTGGCATATGTGTATACATAGTTACATAGTATTTGAGGTTAAAAAAAGACAGGTCCATCAAGTTCAACCTTTGTGTGTGTTGTGCGTGCGTGTATATAAGAGTCCCTATATGGTCTAGTATTTAGGTGTACACGTACACCTGTATGTTATGGTCTCTGAGGAAGGTATCTAATTGATTTTTGAATGATTCAATACTCTCTGCTGATACCACTGCTTGTGGCAGCAAGTTCCAAAATGTAACCACTCTGACTGAGAAGAATCCCCTACGCCCTTTGTGGATAAATCATTTCTCTACCAATTTTAGGTGGTGGCCTCTAGTCCTTGTTACAGAGTTTACAGTAAAAAGTTTAGTGCCGATGTTGCCATCACCACCAAACATTTTGTACAACAAAGTGTATGCATAGCTAAAAGGATTCCTTTCATTAGTATTCTGCCTAGCAATGTACACTACACCATGTTGCCCTGGCACATATGAATGATGGTGTCATACCCTCTAAACCTGCTGCCCTATGCACTGGCCCACAACACTGGCCTTGCAGTAAGAACACAATGGTGTTGCCTAGAAATCGGATAGAAAGGCTGCAATCCACAATTTTACAAGCATTGCCCTCTAAGATGTGTAGCAACACACGACATATATCAAACCTAGAAATAGTTACTATTTTTGGACCCAGAATGAGGCAGGGATTACCAAAAGCAGCTGCCAATTGGAAAGCTATTGGGAGTTAAACCAGGCTAGTTGTGCATATTTTGTTTTTTTAACCTCAGTAGATACAATATTATTATTATACAGGATTTATACGGCGCCAACAGTTTGCGCAGCGCTTTACAATATAAGGAAGACATTCCAATCATAATACAATTCAAGACAGGATGGTAAGGAGGGCCCTGCCCCTGAGGGCTTACAATCTGAAAGATACTATAAAGAAATGTAGCAAAACATCTAATAAGAAAATGACCGTTAACTATGCAAAACCTAATAAAAACTTTCCTGTTAAAAAAATAAGAACGTGACGAAGACTAAAATATACCAAGGCATTATAAGACAGCAAGAAGGTAAAGAAAGCACTGTTGTCCCAAAGCACAGCATGGAGCAACACTGAAGAACAATGTGCCTGCTGTGTTAGGTCCCATGGGTAACGGCTACATGAGAACATACATTAGAAACAGGAAAACAAAGTAAGAGAAGAATTAAAAAAGGGGGGTTGGGAAGGGAAAGGAAAGAAGAAGGTAGAAATACAAGAGTGTGGGTTAGGTCTGGGGCATCCCTGAAGCACCTGGAGCTTCAGGGATGAGCCAGACAGGAATAGGGGACAAGGCGAACAAACCGGCGAGTAGAGTTCATGTAAAAACGCTCAAAACCACAAAGTACTTTAGAAGGAACTTGTATTACAAAAGAGCACTTTTTTTAGACTGGTCTTTTGAGGGAAGATATGAGATATTTCAAATTTTTATATTGTTCACTACGGAGAACCAAGAAGAAGTAGGAGGTGGTTCAACACAACTCCTGAAGAGGGATATAGAAGTACATGTACCAGCAATCGGATGAAACAGGACGATTTTTTAATAGGTTTTTGAGGAATATCATTATGACGAAGGAGGAAGACATTTGTGTCCTTGGGTAGTTGTTGCCTACTGACCTCAGCAATATTCTATATGGAATCTAATAAAAACAGGAGCAGACGAAGGCAACAAATAATGAACATTGTGCCCTCGGATTTAATGTTTTACCAGTAAATGACTGGTATAGAAGGACAGTATTTGTTTATTCTGGAAGCAACATGGTACCAGCTGGTTAGAATTTGTTAGAGGTGGAGGACTTGTGGGCCTTTTTTTGTCCAGTTCTTGACACATCAGGGAAATTCCATCACCGAGTAAGATATAAGGAGACAGCTCTATTAGGCTGGTATTGCTAAGACAGGGTTTTTAAAAATCTTAGAATACAAGTATAAGGGCTAATTGTGTGTGTGTGTGTGGAGGGGGGGGGTTAATTGAATGGCCAGTATGTGGTGGAACTAAAAGAATGTCAACAACCACAGCCCAAGGTGGGGGACATCCAACACACTAGTTATTTCAGAGTCTAGGGCTGCAGCTAACGATTATTGTAATAATCAATTAGTTGCCTGATTTTTTTTTGAATAATCGATTGGATGTATTAAAAAAGAAATCAATCTTTCTCTCCCATAGTTGACAACTATTCTCATAATCGATTATTACGATTATTAGCAATTTAATCGATTAGTTGTTGCAGCCCTATTGGAGTCCATTACTGTGTGGATCGTTTTAATTGTGAAAGCTTTGTAAGTATATAATATTGTTCTGTAGTCAGCTCAGCAATTTGAGAAATACATAGGCTGGCACTGTAAAGGTGCCCATACACCTTACGATTATCGTACGATAATCGTATGCGATCGACTTTTCGTACGACAATCGTAACGTGTGAATAGAGTGCCCGACCGATAGTACTGTACAATCGTACGACTTTTGACGGTCAAGCATGTTTGAAAACTTTGGTCGATTGTACGATGTTCGCATGGTTGGTGGCGTTTCCGTCCGTCAAAAGTCGTACGATTAACACTGCGCAAGCACAAACGAAAATTATTGCGGTCAATTACCGCAAGTCGTCCAGATGGTTTTTTTTAACTAGCGCTGATTGAACCTTTCGATAATCGGGGCAGGATGAGGCAGTCGTACGAAAATCGTACGACGGTTCGATCATCGGACAAAAAGTTTCGTCCGATAATCGTAAGGTGTATGGGCACCTTTAGCCTCCTTCTGATAATGCTGATCCTCTGGCTCGAATACCTTCCTCGTTGCTGATCCAAAGCAAGTATACAGATTGGAAGTTCTTAAATCACTTGCTGCGTAATTGTTCACAGGCCAGTAAATCAAGGGATCAACGTGAAAGCCAGGCAGCTAGTATATTCAGATGGAGGTCAGCAATGGCAGTGTAAATATTTCTCTCGAGACAGGGTTTGCTTTAATGTTAAAAAAATGTGTCCAAAAGGACTGCTTTGAGTATGTAATAAAAACCTTTTATGGATACAAAATAATAGTTGGCCGCTCCTCAATCTTTAGCTGTGCGTGGTTTATCTAAGGTTAAACATGTGTGAGTGATATTGATTGCTGATGCCTGTCCTATGGTGGGAGCTGCCAATAACATTCAGCTGATTATGATCTTGTCTTCGGCGTGTTCTAAGAATCCCCAGGAGGGGGCACCACAGACTGTTTTGGCACGATGGAAAAGCATATAAGCAGTTCCGTTCTATGGAATAAGCAGAAAAAAAAGCCTAAGCCATCATTACACAGAAACAAGCTTCCAGGCCATGCATCATAAATTTCCACAATGGGCAGACTGGCCCTGTTTACGAATGCTTGATAAACAAACAGCAAAGAAAAATAGGATTGTTGTTCATATTAACCAAATATGTCATCAACTACACCTTTTAGATTGTAAGTTCTCATGGCACGGTCCTCCTAACCATCTTGTCTTGAATTGTATTGTGATTGTAATGTCTTCCTGATATTGTAAAGCGCTGCGCAAACTGCTAGCGCTCTATAAATCCTGTATAATAATAATCAGGACCAGATTTCCTCAGCCGCATTTTGATGTCCAAGGCAACACCATTCTGCTAGGGTCACCTCTTTGTTAGACTGGTCCTAACCTAGCTCAGAATATGGAGACAATGTGTATATAATCTTATAGGAGATGAATGCCGAGACCTGGGAAAAAACGTAGGGACACAGTAACTGTTGGAGAGGCCGCCATTTTGCTTTTGCAACCTGTAGGCCCATAGCTACTGTGCATCATGGTAAATTAAGGCCTAACCTTAATACAGCAGAAAATATTGTAGATGTTCTCCACATATCATGAGTGGTGATAGCTTGGTTTCGGTATCTCCTTGCTCAGAGCTGTTTGGGTGCTTACAATGGTCAGCTTTTATTCATTAATATTAAACCTTTATCCCAAAAGGAAAAAAAATCGCAACTAAATCTACTAGTGCATCTCAGGGCCGGTGCACACCTAGGCGACACCTCACCTTGCGGCAATCGTGCGCGCTTCCACGCGGATTGCCGCACGGTCAGGAGTCGCTTAGGTGTGCACCGATCGCGCTGTGGGTTCCATTATTTTACGCCACGATTCCGCCCCCGTGCTTCCGAACACAATTGCGTCTAAAACAGCCGCGCGTCGTGTGTAAGCCGGGGTGCTGCGCTTGGTTGTGTGTGCTCCACCTATTTTTATTCACGAACACATTTACCTTCCTTTTTTCGACTTGTATTTTCAGTATACAGCCGCAATTAGGATTTGATCACTGGCACTGTATTTAGTTTGTGATATTTTCACATTTCCACACAACTTAAGACCAATTAAAAGGTGAAGCACACACAACCAAGCGCAGCACCCCGGCTTACACTTGATCACGTTGATAGATATTGCTGCAGCTGGTTAATTTCTGTAAATATATCCTAGCGCAACTACCCTGGTTACAAGCCGCGCGTCGTGTATTGCAAAAAAAAGGTACTTGCGCTTGCAGCACGGATGTCACTCCATTGAAATCAATGGAGCCGCGCCGCAATCGTGGCCTGCATTGTGCAGGACTGCACGATCCCGGGACGCGCAATCCCGGATCGCGTAGGTCTTCACCGGGCCTAACACTACCCTGCACTAGTATTTACATTTTTGACCAGTCAGCAAGTGGGTTCGCCCCGCTCCACTTTGTAACAGATAAATGCCACTGTTATGAGCTCCACTTTTTAATAGATAAATATTCTGGTCATTACTAGGGCAGCCATGTGCTCATTTTCCATAATTAAAGGAGAACTATGGGGTTAGGGCTTTTCCCCATAGTTTTCCTGAGGGTAACTGGAGGACACAAATTAGCGTCATCCCGTCACCCTAGGCTCAGTATACCGCGAGCTGTAGCTCACGGTATACTGAGACGCCACAGCTGAAGCGAATCCCGACAATTATGCCTGGATCCGCCCAGCTGCGTGACCGACAGCTGGCTCTGCCTATCTACAGACAGAGCCGGCTGTACCCGCCCCCTCCCCCGTCCGTTCCGCCAGTGGAGGATCGGAGCGGGGAGGGGGGAATCCAGCCCCTCCCCTGTCACGGCAGAGAGCCGTGACAGGATCGAGAGGTGAGCGAACACCGGTATGTGTTCGCTCACCTCCCGATCTACTGAGCCGACCTGTGACAGTCTCATTGTCACAAGTCGGCTAGAACTATGAGGTGAGTGAAAAGCACTCACCTCATAGTTCTCCTTTAAGGAGATCAGCCTCCACTATATGACACCATTGTTAAAGCTGAACTCCGGAATGAGCAAATAATTCCCTAGAAGAGTATATGTGTTCTCCTTGAATCTTCTGAGCTTTGTGCATTTCTTCCAAATCTGTGCAGTCATCCAGTGTGCAACTTGGAGCTTCCTGTAATAAAGACCGGTGACTGCTGCTCTCTCTTCTTGATCAGGGTGACTGGTCTTTTCCCCGCCCCTCTTGTAGTTTCCTGTAGTAGGTGGAGCCTGCTGGGCCCCTCCCACAGCTCTGTTCTCTGCACAGGCCATGTACAGCACAGTGATGATGACACTACTAATTTAAAAAAGGTAATTTCTGGGTTTGTAAAGGTATTTGCTGCACTAAAAGTGGATGTATGTCCTTGTGGTTATTATAGAGTATATTTGTAGAGTTTTTATACCCGGAGTTCAGCTTTAAGATTGTGCGGAGACTGCCAAAAGTGTTATTGGTGGTTTTGAGAGATAGACAGAAGTTGTTACGTGATTCACCTGCACCCATCTATAACATAAGGAAGTAGTGGTTGCAGCCGGCCATACAGGCAGCACTGGCATTTGCCAAGGGGGACAACGCTGCTGTAAATATTTGCGAGCCTCCGGGGGCTGCTTAGCCTCAAATAGCCTCTCTTTTTTTTTTAAAAAGAACATCAACTTTTACCGCAGCCTACATTCTGCCTGTGGGGCTCACAACGGCACTCAGCTGGCAGCTGTGCCAAGACAGAAATGTTATTGTTCTAACAAGCTTGTCAGAGTTTTGTCACACGGGACTGTGGGCTGGTGTGTGTTTTATGGCAGACTTACTTTTCATCTCCCGTTCCTGAATCTGCATGTCTATATGTATATGCACATATATATAGTTCTATAGTTTTATATATACCTGTATATACAGTATGTCTAGTTATATAGTATATGCACACCTTTACTACATTGTGTTGCTTGGGACATCCTCGCTGAACCCACCTGCTTTGGATATCCATTCCATGTAGCCATTTAACTCCCTTTCAATCTGCTGCTGTCTCCTCAGTTTCATGAATGCCCTCCGGTTCTCTACACGCTCTCTCTCTTTGGCGAACTCCCTGTGGCACACAAAGATTTCCGTGAGCACAACAATTCTAAAAAACCTGGAGAAAAACACGGCTGACCTTGTTCGTCTTAAGTCAGAAACTGTTTTGCATCTCCCCACAGTCGCCAGCCAGCTCTGTGCTGTCATTTCCCGACATTCACTTTGCAGCGCAGGTTTGGATTTGACTGACGGATGTGAAGGATGCAGAGTTTTTACTTGTGCACACGCGCAGTGCACGGCAGTAAGGAGAGCGGTAACGGACACTTTACCGCAGCGCACCGATGTGCGTTGCAATTTTTTTTGAAGGCCACCTCAACACACATAACACATCGCAATGCACAATATAAGCTGCAGTGGTAACAAATAAACTGCAACATAACCTTGCAAAATCCTATTCCCCATTCTGCTGAAAATGGACAGGCCGAATCACACTTTTGAATTGCTATACGGATGTTCAGCTGTGCCGAAGTGCAGAAGGAGTTCGACTCCAACATCTGGATCAGCTGGCACGAAGCTCCGGCAGCTCACTCGCTGTCGTTCACCCCTATTCTCATAGGGGCCGAATGGCAGTGAGTGAATAGCCGAATGCCGCCGAGCTGCATTCCACTCGGCTATTCTGCTCGGTACCTTTGAGGTACCGAGCAGAAAAGAACCTCTGAGGTACCGAGCAGAATAGAAAAAGAGTGAAATGAATAAAAGAAAAGAAAACATTAAATTGAAAAATAATTTTAAACATTTTACAAAATAGGAAAATTAAAAAAGAATTGCAATAGTTTTAAGAAAAGAAAAACATAAGAAAAATTAAAAATAATTTTTAAAAACGCTGGCTAAGATGCCGGCAAAAGAAAACCAATTGGGTGGAGCTAGCAGTGACAGTTAGCTCCGCCCAACTGTTTCCTATTGGCTGGCACCTGCCAGAGTCTTCTAGCAGGTCCTGGCTAATGAATAACAGCTGGGCGGAGCCGGCCGTGATGTCACGGTTGCCTCCGCCCATTTGTTATTGTTTAATGACAGATCAGCATCCCCAGGTCATTTGGGGACGCTGATATGTAATTACAACTGGCCGGAACGAGCTGTGAGATCATTTGCCTGGAGATCGGTTGGCTTCGGCAGGCCTTTTGCCCCGCTTTGGGTGTCACTTCGGCTCAGCACTGAGGCTCAGCACTGAGGTGCTTGTAGTTCTCAATGGAATACGAGTGCGGTGATGTCAACGCATTTGTAGTCCGTTCATTCTTCCTGCCGTCCATGTCCCTGATTGTAGGTACCTGTACGGATATGGATGGGAGGGAGAATCTGCAGGACCCAGAGCATTGCACCCAAGCTCCAATGCAAAAAAACAAAACAAATAATGCTAATTTTTTTTCTTTTATGAAGAAGTGTGCATTTATTTTTATTTGTTTTCCCAAAAAATGCACTTTACCATTAAACATAGACAATGAAGACTACAAAAACACACAAGCCTTTAAATGTAAAGGGTTAGTCAAATGTTTTCCTTCAGTTCTATCTCTACTTACCCAGAAAGGACACCCAGAACTAGGTTAAGCATAAAGAAGGAGCCAATGATGATAAGGGGAATAAAGTACAGCCAGTTCCAGGCACTGCCAAACACATCATTACTCTGCAAAGAGAAGAACGCAGGTGAAAGGCACAGCTACCCTACATACTATACAACATACAGGTTGGTAAGACGTGTTCTTAAACCTCTACCTTATGATAGGTTAGAGAGCATTTGTAGTTCTAGGTAAGTAATTCAGCCAAAAACGAATCAAGAATGTTAAAGCATGAGGAAATATTTTAAAATATAATGCATACATGCAAAACTGTAGTGAGCAATTGGGCTCTAAAATCTAACAATAGATACATGGCAGGAGTATGATCAATAAATAATAGAAATAAGTCAGTTATAAGATGATTGCGCATATAATAATAGAACAGTGATAATAATAATAATAATAGCGATAAATATGGGTTAATAGGTTGTGTAATAGTAAATCATTCAGTGACAGATACAGGACAGTTATGGGACAAGGGGGTCATGTAATAATAGATCGGGGATAATAAAATGTCTTTCTCATTTATTAAGGGACACAAGGTCAGAAGTTATTCAAAACCAACTGGGTTATACTGCTGCCTACAGGAAGAAATGTTTTACCACCCCGCTTCATGGTCACCAGCTTTGACAGCTTGGCTGTTAAAACCCAAATCCTAAATATAGGGGCCTTTCTGATTCTCGTTACAACATTTCTCTTGGCTCCGACAGATCATCATTCCAAGCTTCCAGCTTTAAGACAAGGTACCACCTTTTCCTGTCAAGGTGCACACCGTTTCCTGTCAAGGTGCACTCCTCTAGGTCTGTTAGTTCTTCTTGGGCTTTTCAACATCAGGCATCTGTTTACCAGATTTGCAAGGCCGCCACCTGGTCCTTGTTCATACATTTCATTTACATTTCATCATCTCTAAGTTTTACCATGTGGATGCTCAGGACTCAGCTGACGCCAGCTTGGGATGTAAGGTCCTTCAGACAGCTCTGAGCTGCAAGCTGCCCCCAATTGTTACACTGTTGTTTTGTGGGCTTGTTAGGATTTTTGTTGCTATTGCACACCCCTCACTTGGAATGCTTTCATTCTAGTTGTCTCTGAATTACTTCTGACTCTGTGTACGTTAATGAATGAGAAGGAAAACAGGATTTTTATGCATGCTGCAAAATCCATTTCTTGGCGTTCCTAAAGGGATAGAGGTCCTACCCCACTGTGTTTGACATCTACTTCTAATATTGTTTTTCTGCAGACTGAAGCAGGGAGTGAGTAGAAGGGGTTAAACCTGATTGGATAACAACTGTTTTTGTTTGCCAGTGTCTAATTCCTCCTGTAGGCAGCAGTATAACACAGCTGTCTCTGAATTGCTTCTGATCCTGTCTTCCTTAATGAACTCCAAGAAATGGATTTTACAACAAGTACAAAAATCTTATAATTAGTGATACATATAGCAGAAGAGGTCATGTAATAAAAGATCAGGAATAGATACAGGGCAGCTATAGGATGAGGTGCCATCGTGTAATAATAGATCAATGAATGATACAGAACAGTTATAGGATGGGGAGCGTTGTAAGGGCATGTGATAATAAATCAGTGACCCATACAGGACAGTTATAGAATGAAGTAGGGTGGAGGGTCATGTAATAATAGATCAGTGACCAATACAGGAGAGTAAAAAGATGGAGTGGGGTGGAGGGTCATGTGATAATAGATCACTGATCAATACAGGACAGTAATAATATGAAGTGGGGTGGTGGGTCATGTAATAATAGATCAGTGACCCATACAGGAGAGTAATAGGATGGGATGGGGTGAAAGATCATGTGATAATAGATCACTGATTAATACAGGACAGTAATAGGATGGGGTGGGGTGGAGGGTCATGTGATTATAGATCAATCACAGACTGACATACAATTACGAGATGAGTGTTCATGTAATAACAGATCAGTAACAAATAAAGGACAGTTATAGGGTGATGGGTCACAAAATAATAGATCACTGATCGATGCACGAAAATTATAAGATAAGGGGTCATGTAATATTACACAAGGGACAATTATAGGACAGCTTTTGGATGGCAGTCCTTAAATCTTTAGGAATATGCAGGACAGTTATAGGATGACGGGCCATGTAATAATATTTCAGTGACCCATACAGTAGGGCAGTTATAGGATGACGGGCCATGTAATAATATTTCAGTGACCCATACAGCAGGGCAGTTATAGGATTATGGGCCATGTAATAATATTTCAGTGACCCATACAGTAGGGCAGTTATAGGATGACGGGCCATGTAATAATATTTCAGTGACCCATACAGCAGGGCAGTTATAGGATTATGGGCCATGTAATAATATTTCAGTGACCCATACAGCAGGGCAGTTATAGGATTATGGGCCATGTAATAATATTTCAGTGACCCATACAGGACAGTTACAGGATGGCGGGCTATGTAATAATAGATTAGTGACCCATACAGCAGGACAGTTATAGGATGAAGGGCCATGTAATAAAAGATGTCTGACAAATACAGGATGACGGGTCATGTGATAAAAGATGTCTGACAAATACAGGATGACGGGTCATGTAAATATAGATCCGTGATAGATGTAGCACAATTATAAGATGAGGGTTCATGTAATAATAGACCAGTGACGAGCACATTGGAATATCACAGTATGAAGCTCCCACAATACAGCAGAGATGAGTACATGATGACATTTTTGGGGAAAGCATTGACTGCTGAATGAAAGTCTTCAGGTTTCTAGCTGTGGGAGGGTTGCCTTCTCCTCCCTCCTTTCCCTGCAGGGAGATGGGGGTGGTGCTCTCATCTACGTGTGCAGTGAAAGGTTCCTGTGCCCGTTTCTTGATGCTAAAAATACAAGCGGCAGGAGAACGCATCCTAAGAAAGAGAGCGGCTCTCCTGTCAGAGAATGGGGAGGAGGGGGAGGGGTGCACCATTTCCCTTTCTATCAGGATGCTGCCCTTGAGCAAAGAGAGAGAGAGAGTCAGCTGTCACTCACATAGGCACTGCTGGGTGTGCACAGAAAATCATATTTCACCTTCTCTATTCCACGCCGTGGCCTAAACTCTAGACGAGTTACTATAATTTGGAGCTGGGGAGCACGTGTTTTACTCCCAACTGTCCCTACGAGAGAATCTCCCTATTCTGGAGCTAGATCCCCATGGCACATATTTCTCCACATTTGTCCTTTATATCTAATGCAGAAGTCCGTTTAGGCTTCTTCAACCTTTTTAGCTCAGAGGAACCCTGGAAATAATTTACATGTCTTGGGGAATTATTTCAGTGGGTCAGTGGGATATATGCTCCTGACATTGGTGGTCAGTGAGAAGAATGCTCCTTACATTGGTGGTCAGCGGGAAGAATGTCCCTTACATTGGTGGTCAGTGGGAAGAATGTCCCTTACATTGGTGGTCAGTGGGAAGAATGTCCCTTACATTGGTGGTCAGTGGGAAAATGTCTTACAGTGGTGGTCAGTGGGAAGAATGTCCCTTACAGAAGTGTTCAATGGGAAGAATGTCCCTTACAGTGGTGGTCAGTGGGAAAAATGTCTTACAGTGGTGGTCAGTGGTAAAAAAAATTACAGTGGTGGTCAGTGGGAAGAATGTCCCTTACAGTGGTGGTCAGTGGGAAAATGTCTTACAGTGGTGGTCAGTGGGAAGAATGTCCCTTACAGAAGTGTTCAATGGGAAGAATGTCCCTTACAGTGGTGGTCAGTGGGAAAAATGTCTTACAGTGGTGGTCTGTGGTAAGAATGCCCCTTACATTGGTGGTCAGTGGGAAGAATGTCCCTTACGTTGGTAGTCCGTGGGAAGAATGTTCTTTTACATTCATGGTTAGAGGGAAGAATGCTACATATATTGAAGGTCAATGGAAAGAATGTCCCTAACATTGATGGTTAGTGGGAATAATCTACCTTTACAGTGGTGGTCAGTGGGAATAATCTACCTTTACAGTGGTGGTCAGTGGGAAGAATATCCCTTACATTGATGGATAATGGGAATAATGTTTCTTACATTGGTGGTCAGTGTGAAAGCTGACCCTTAGATTAGTGGTCAGCAGGAAGAATGTCCCTTACAGTGGTGGTAACTGGGAAGAATGTCCTTTACATTGATGGATAATGGGAAGAATGTCTCTTACAGTGGTTATCTGTGGGAAGAATGTCCCTTACAGTGGTGGTCAGCATGCCACCCTTACAGACAACTAAGAAGTTCACTGGTGTCATGCCACTGGATCTGCCAAGTGGCATTTGAGCCCAAACTATGCAGGCACCAACAGATGGGAGGTCAGCCAGCCTTAGCTCAAGGAACCCGTAGCAATCTCTGGAGGAACCCTGGGTTACATGAAACCCTGGTAGGGAATGGCTGGTATAGGTATGTTTCCCTATATAAGGGTTTATGTAGTGCTGGACTTTCTGTCCAGCCTGTAAATCACTGCATAGCTAATTTTGAATACTAGTAGTAGTGAGAAAAGACACTAGTAATGTGTGCTTTGTGCAGTGTACAACCCTATTTTCTTTCTCAGAATGTTCGAAGGTATATATGTGAGGCTATTAATTAATGAATTCTGATTTATTTTTTTTAATTTTCCCCGGGGCTTCACATCCGCAGCACATCTGGTAATGCAGTGTGACTGCCTGCCTGCTTTTTCTTAGGATGTTCTTCTTTTTTGCAATTATAAAAGCTTTAGGATATTTTAGAAGAGTGGTAATAAATTACGTTTGTCTTCCATGCTGAATAGGTTTTACCCAATGGCACTGGAAAACCCTACTTCTGTATCATTCAAGCTGAACTCCGGCCTTACCTTCAGTCTTGCACAGTTGTACTGGTTCCTCTCCTGGACTGAAATTGCTTAAAGTGCCCGTACACTGCACAAACAAATATCGAACAGTTGATGGCACATCACCGATTTTTGTTTTAGATATTGTGATCGAAAATTTTGGTTCAGTCAGGTTGGAAAAAACATTTCTGACCGAACGAAAATCAATAAATCAGTGGGGTTTTTGTTCGGCAAAAATCTTTGCAAGAACACAGCACAGCACATGGACAAAATTATTATT